CCCCTTATCCACTATCCAACACCCCTTTTTTATCTATCCAAAACCCAAGCCACTTCCTGAACAACAGCATTATCTTGATACACCCCTCCTATCACTTTATTAAACCTTTCAATCCAAGATTGGGGGGCTTTTAAGGTCTTCACTGACACTTTTGAGCTTTAAACCGTTGCTGTGTGCCGCATCATCACCTTGATGTTTCACAAAGAACCCTTAGCTCACACAAACTGTGACACCTCTGCCTGAAACAGCAGGAGGGACATTTGCAAAGACAACTCAAACTAAAAATCACTAAACAGCATTGATAACCAGCCATTCTGTGTGATTCCTGCTCTGCATGCACATTTTATGGCAAAACAAATACTTTTGCCTGTTCCTCTGTTTAGACTTCTCCTGCAGGTCTCTTCTCTCTAAGTTTCCTTCCTCCCTTGCTCCCCTTTCTATCTTCTATCACCCTGTCAAAATTTCCGCTTGGTAGAATACTTCATTTATTTAATTCTCCATGTAATACATCAGAAACCACACTGGACTCACAAGTCCAGAAACCCCTGTAACATATGCATCCTGCATGCCATTCCACTGAATGGTACTCACTCTTGCGACATATTTTACCATCCTCAATTATCAGTAGGCCTTCTCCTCCCTGCAATGAATCTCCAACTCAGCTCAGTGATAATTTTTCTGGTCTTGAGAGCTGGAAAGATTCACAGCTTTAATTATAGTGCTATACAAATGACAGATGATTCCAAATCATTGTCTTTTTAAAATGTTGGCAGACACTCAATGAGGTGTGCTGATTTGAAACAGCTTCCCTTTGGGAACCCCAGGTTTTCCAAGAAGGAAATGGGGAAGGCTGGATTCCAACTGCCTGACCATCCATGCAGCAGGCTTCATGCAGTTTTTGGATTTCCCATACATAATTTATTAAATATTGGAAAGGCATTGGGATGATTGGCAGACAAAATTGGGGAGTGATCACGATTGCAATCAACTCCTCACCCAAGAGTATGAGGGAGGTTTTCTTCCATTGGCAACATTTAAATCACATCAGATCGATGGGAATAAGTTGTTACTTTAATGGAGTGAATAAATTTATTCTTGTTCTGCTTGCACAAGGTGGATAAGAAAGGCGGACCATCCATTCTCCCTTCCAGGGCTATGATTGGAGATTGAGGCAGCAGCGGGTCTACTGTTAGGCCCTTGTCAGGGCCCTCTGTAGAAACTTGCTGTGGTTCATTTTATGGTCCAACACCTGACTGGTTTAAGGTGAACAGGGGCTTAAAATCCTGTAGAGGGAGCCCTTTGTTGGTGGAGGCATGGTTTATGTTGCCACATGTCTTAATCCTTATGGTGTGTGATTTGATGGGGCACACCACTTACTGTTAAAGAGATTCTCAGAATCTTTCCAAGCTATGTGATGGAGGTGTTTAGTGCGGAGCTGTTTTTGTGTATGCATCAGCTGTTGCTTCTGTTTGTAAAAGGATGTGGACTACAAGACTCAAACCTGCAACCCCTAAGTAAATGAAAGGTGCTCTGCCATTGAGTTAAGTCCGCACAGGAGCATGGGGTATATCCAACACTTCTGAACAAGCATGAAAATGCATATTCATCTGCAAAGACAGGGTAATTCTGTGGCCCACAGCTATTTTCCCTTAGTGTACGCTATAAGCTCTAATCTTCTCTTTGTAATTTTCACAATTAAAAGAGGGGCAATCTTGAGCTGAGTTATATGGGAAGCTCAGCCTGGTCTGTGGTTTTTAAACCAAAGAAAATCACAAATTTTTATTCGAACTAAAACAAAGGAATTGGGTTGACACAGGCCGCATATTGATAAGGACAAAAAAACTAGCCAAATCAAAAAATCAGAATTTGTCTGCTGGTGAATATAGGAAATGGAAATACATACCTTTTTATATATAAGAGAATATGAGGCACATAATTTCTATGGCTTCCGCCGCAGTCTTACCCTTTCAAAGGATATGAAGAACCATAGTCTTCTTTTTCTCCTGCAGCCCCTCTTCCTTTTCCTCTTACACATTTCTGTTCCAGCTCCTCCTTTTGTGAGGCTAGGGCATCTTCTCAATAAATAGCTGAGACTCCAGCATTTGAAAGCAACTCTCATTTGCATTCAAGAAAGGCCCCGCCAGTAATACTTGAGGGGCTGAAGTGGTAGCAGTGGCCATATGGCCCCTGCCCTGCCACATGGGAGATTTTGAGCTTGATGTGATGCAACTTAAACCAGCTGATTGAGGGTGGCCTCAGAGAGGTAATATGGACAAAGACCAATAGTTGGGTAGGCAAGTTTGGCAATGGTGTTGATGGGTGATGGCTGGCTTGTGAGTTAGGGGGATGGACTCCTGTTGTTGATTTTAACTTGATTTGATTCCAGATTGCACTTGAGAGAAACAAGAATTGGTCTCTTTCTATTTTATTTACCAAGAAGGGAAGGGACCAGAATACCAGTGAATTCATCTTGTGAGGGGAGGGGTGCTAATGTGCCAGATTAAGTTTACTTGGCCACTGAATCTGATTGGTTTTTGTACTGCTTGTCTTCCCCACCCAACACCAATCCGCCAATTCTGTCATTTTCTTCATTGTTTAATAATTTCCCAAGCTGGTCTCAAATGGTCAGATACAAAAAGGGAAGTGAAATTTGCTTTGTTGCAGAACAATGCATCAAGGCAGTGATAACATGGACACTTGTTCTTGAGAACTTCATATACTGCTTGAGGACCACAGTTTTTTTTTTTTATCCCTGTGCCTGTATTCTCTTCAAACATCTTCACATCCATGTATTTTTTTTCACATTGATTGATCTGCTGTTTTAGTCATCTCCCATTGAGCAACATTTGTCATTCAACTGGTTGAGCTAAGTTGTGAAAACCTCAAAGACCTGTGATTTAGTCATTAGCTCAACTCTTACTGATGCTTTGGAGCTGTCCCCAAACAATGAAATATATGTATATATATATATATATTGAATCTCTGAGGTATGTCATTGCATTCTCATAATCCTGATCTTGACAGAAGGTTTTCCATTCTCAACTTCATTGGATTTAGGCAGAGAGTGAACAACTGGCCTGAGCATGAGAATCTGTGACAAAGGCTTTGAGGTTAGTGCCCTTGATCCTTCAAGAGCTTGGCCATCTTTCATTCTTGCTTCTTGTGTAGGCAAGCTTTCTACTTTTCTGGACAAATAGTGGCCATTTCTCCCCTGATTTGACATAGATGTTTGCCCAGCGGATCATTTTGAGTCACAGATTCCCCCAGAGTTACTGAAACTGGGTGGAGCAATGATTCATTCACATTTGGGGGACTTTGACTGTGAATGCATCAATTCCAACATGTGATGAATGAAGAAACATGATTGGTTTACTTAAAATAGGCATGGAGGGGGAAAGAGAAGAAAGAAAGCAATGTCCTTCATGAATATGTTTGTGGTTTATCAAATGGTGTAATGTTGATGTGATTGGTGTGGATGGTGGAAAAACTTTATGAGGTGATAGTCAGGGAGGGGTAATTGTACGGCAATTTTTATATAGAAAGAGCAGTGTGCTGGCTTCAGATGAAGCAGAGCTAGAGAGCTGCTCATATCTAAATTTTGAATAAGGTTTTGCTCAAAAACAAAAATTACGAGCAAGCAAACATTTTATGTGACATGTCCATAAAATGATCCTACATGAACCAGGCTATTTAACACCAATTCCAATCCACATATATTCATAAAATTTCGACACTTTTTTTTTTTTCAAGTGCTCAGATTGGTCCCAAAAAGCTGAATCTGATGACCAACAAAAGATTCATGAGAATTTTATGTATTAAGAGGTTAGAAGCTGTGTTAAAGGTCCCAATGTGAACCGAGCCACTATCTTGTCTCAAAAAGAAAACCTCATTTCGAAATGTTTCCAAAAACTTATCAAACATCTTTCCAAGGTTGCAGGTTTATAATTGGGGCCTTAGTAAGCAACTTGGGATGCGACTAGTTAAACTACCGGTTACAGAGATTTATATAAGGTTGTTATGGATATATCGTACAGTGGAAGATCGCGTGGCAGGTTTTCTCACCTTAGGATTAAGGCTGTTGTTGCACGTGGATTTCTCCAGGCCAGCCTTTCTGCAAGCTTCTTCTTCTTCTTCTCCTCGCGACTAGTGTGCAGATCTGGTGCATGAGTACCATCAGGTCGATTATTAAAGGAGATCATGACAGTTGTAGGATCTCTCTCAAGTACTGCCTATTTCCTTTTTATGTTATGTTGATGAACTATGGTCGACAGCTGCAGTAACTAAATACATGGTGATGATGGAGTGTGCGCCTCGATGTACGTGGCCGTTGTGGTTGGACCAGGAGAGAGGAAGTTTCAGGCCAGGAGACACAACAACCGGCGGCAGTGGTCTCGAGGGGTGGTTTCCTTAGCTCTCAGTCTGCTGTACACACTCTCAGCGGAGTTTCCAAACCAACCAACACTCTCTCTCTTCACTACTGAATACACTTCTGAAGAATAGAAATTTCTTAATAGTAAAGCGGAAAAGAACCAGCGACCAAATAACTGAACTGCAGTAGTGGGCCACAAGGCCTTCCCGCAATCAGCTACACTTGTCCCACTCCCTTCTTCAAGCCGTAGCCGAATATCCCTCAACAAGATAACTACTGGTTGCAATCAAAACCTCCTTATCAATGTCGCTCACCCTCTGAGAAGAGAGACATTCAAGAAAGAAACCTATTGGCCGACTAGAATCACCCCCTCCAACATCACCCGCAGTATGATCATCTGATCAGCGGTTCAACCTCACCCAGAAAACTCGCAGAAAAAAAAAATTAAAAGAAGAAGCAAGAGATAACGCAGTAAAGAAGTGAAAGGAAAGGAAAGGAAAGTAAACCAACAGAGAATATCACCAGAAAGAAAGGGAAGGAACTCTCAAGATCCAATCCAATGCAGTCGATTCACTATCCGCAACCCTATCTCGTCCTCCCCTCTCAACTCCATCCCTCCCACCCCCATCCCCATCTGTATCCACACCCTCCCCCTCAGGATACTCGCACCCAACTATTTGTGAACAACCTGCCCTTCCGGGTGCGATGGCAGGACCTCAAGGACCTCTTCAGGAAGGCCGGAACCGTCCTCAGGGCCGATGTCTCGCTCACCCCCGATAACAGGAGCAAAGGCTTTGGTACCGTCTTGTTTGCCAACCGAAACGATGCCTTCAAGGCTGTCGAAATCTACAGTAAGTGTTTCACTACGAAAAAAAAAAAAAATCTGAGTCTAAGGGAATAATAACACAACACTGATATTTGGTTTTTCTTAAATTGTGCGTCTCAAGATCGTTTCAGCTGGCAAACTCGAATTCTCGATGTCAGGTTCGATCAACAAGACCCCACTGGGGCATTGGGAATGGCTGCTGCTTCTGCTTGCCCCATCCCGCCCTCACAACAACAACAACAACAACAACAACAACAACTACAACAGCAACAACAACTACAACTACAACTACATCAGCAACAGTATCATCATCTCCAACAGCATCCACAACCACAGCGGCAGCAGCTTAATCACCAATTGGCGGCCCTTCAGACTAACAAGTGCATACCTCCTCAGCCTCAGAACTCAATCCTCCCATCCACCGGAAATCCTAGCAGTAATGCCTACCAGCACAATCAGATTCCACTAGGTGGTGGTACTACCACTACCACCCTCACCACCGATTCTCAGCAGACATCCTCATCCGCCACTCCTAATCACACCCCCTCTCAAGCATCCAATGTCATGCCCGTTACCTCTTCAAGCTCTTTCCCAACAGTACAACCCTCAACTCCCGAGTCAACCATCAACTCATCAATCAATATTAAACCTGTTCATAGTTACCAAAAGCACCAGCATTCTCAATCCTTGATACCCCTCTCAGACTCACCCCCCAACCCATCCCAATCGGCTGTCTTCAACAACCCCTTGCTCAAAACCTCCAACCACCGTCCGTCTCGCTCGGTCCAACTCTTTAATCCTCATAATATTCCTGCTGCCAAATCCGCCTCGTCTTCCACCGCCAGCCGCTCTCAAACTCCTCCAAGCCGCTCCCTGGATGTCCATCAACCTATTTTCAGACCTGCTACTACTAACTCCCTTAACCAGCCTCATGCTGTGCACTCTCAAATCTCCGCTCCGCAAGATGCTTCCCCGGCAACATTACCCTCAGTCACAATTTCAAATACCCTCCCCGACCCTGCTAGCTCTATATCTTCAGCCCCCCTCGACCCTTCATCTACCGGATCCTCGCCTGCCGGATCAATCCCTAATCGGCACTCTAGCGGCACTATCTCTAACTCTTCCTCCCTCATCGGCTCTACCTCATCCCTCAATGATGGCCCCGTCATTCATCATCCCTCGCTTCCTTCTATCCATCGCTATGGTCCTCCACACTCCTATCCACCCCATCACTTCTCTAGTGCAAGCCTCAGTCACGCATCCTATCTCAACGTATGCTTTAATTTTATCTTATGCGAGAAAAAAAAAAAAAAACAGAAATTAACCCCCCTCTTTGTCATTGTTTTTAGCCTCATG